CTTCCCGCTTCACCTCGCGGGCCGCTTCCCGCTTTCCCTTGCGGGTCGCTTCCCACTTTCCCACGTTGTAACGTGTTACCCGCTTTTTCGCGCGCCGCAATCCCCTGCCTTCTCATTGAATGAAAACAGATAAAGGTTCAAGGCGCAGCAGCAGGGAAGAAAGCGAGGCCGCAGGGATGGGGAAGACAACAGATAGTAGCGAGCGGGAGAGGCGAGAGGGGAGGGAGAGGGGCACGAGAGCAGTGGAGGGGGGAAGGCGTGAGAGCAGGGAGGGAGTGAGGCATGAGAGCAAGGAGGGAGTGAGGCACGAGAGCAGGGAGGGAGTGAGGCATGAGAGCAGGGAGAGAGTGAGGCATGAGAGCAGGTGTGAGTGCAGGGGAGGGGGAGAGGCGTAAGAGTAGGGGAGGGGGAGAGATGGGAGAGCATTGAGGTATGAGGTGCGTGATAGGGGGGGATGTGGGAAGGCGCAAGAGCCATGGAGGGAGCGAGAGGTGAGAGAAGGGAAGGGAAAGAGGGGTACGAGTAGGGGAGTGGGGAAAGGGAGAGTGCAGCCTGGAGGAGATGGGGAGGGGAAGAGGCGTGAGGGCGGGGGAGGAAGAGGCGTGAGGGGCATGGGAGGGGGAGAGGGTGTTAGGGTAGGGGAGGGGGAGTGGCGTGAGTGCAGGACAGTGGGGAAAGATGGATTGCAGTGAGGGTAGGGGGGTAGGAGTGAGAGCAGAGGAGTGGGAGAGGCGTGAGGGCGTGAGAGGCAGGGACAGCTGGAGGAGATGGGGAGGGAAAGAGGCATGAGGAGAGGGGAGGCAGATACGCATGAGGGCAGGGGAGAGGGAGATGCATGAGGGCAGGGGAGGGGGAGAGGCATGAGGACAGAGGAGGGGGAGTGGCATGAAGCAGGGGAGGGGGAGAGGGCAGTAAGTGTGAGCGGGATCCTGGCAGGACAGGCAGTAAACACTCTATAACTAACCCCTCTCAACCCCCCGCCCCCCCACTAACGTATGCCCCCATCTCTTTCTCCCCCCCCCCCCCCCCCCCCCCCCCCTCCCCTCCTCCCCGCTCTCTCGCACCCTACCGGGTGGCACATGATTGCCAGTCAAGCTCACCTTGGACAACCTCTCCGTTAAAAGCCAGACTTCACCCCAAACCTATCCACTCACTCCCCTGTGCATCTCTCAACAAACCACATTCTGTGGGTGATCTCCGTGCGGCCACGCATTCAAACATTCAGCCGTTATTGGCATATGCTAACCATGTCTCATCTCTAGCATCATCTACGACGGCTGCAGAAAATGGAAGTTATGTAACCCTACATATGTGAACGACACCTTGTAACTGAGTTGGTCCAGGGTTGTAAAGCCAACTTGAATTTTGAGGTCGCAATTTCTCTCCCTCAAGTTTGTTACATTCTTCCTGCCACATATATATGCGACCTTTTCAGGTTATGAACGGCTTGTCGGTCGTTCTGTAAGAGTACATGAACTTGGCACCAATTTTGGCAACAAGAGTAGCTTTTTATCTTTAGCATAAAGTCATATTAGTCTAGATACATTCAGAAAGTCAAGTTCCCATGGAAAGCGATTTAATCTACTAAACAAATCCAAGACACACACTGAGATATATCGAAAACGTCTTAGCATATATAGTAACAAGTGTTGGCTACAACACCTCCATCCAACCACCAAGAAGGGCGTAGTCCAACGGAATCGGTGCAAAACACGGCTTTATGAAATTTGTGAATACCAAACTGAACCGAATTGAATCGCAAATTACAACGTGCTATAGAGCGCGCGGATTCTGGGATCCAAAATTTCAGGTCCTATTTGCTTGATATTCGGGTCTGTAGAAACACGCCCCTATTCACAAAATGACGTGCTGACCAATCACACACCCTTTGCCCCCACCCTTCACCTGCAACCGAACCCAACAAAATTTATTCATCCAACTCAGCCCCTGCACCTCGTCCAACCAATCAAAATCTGCCAAGTGGTTCCAGAGCGGCTAATCCAGCTCAACCACCTGCTCGCCCCAGCCACCCAGCCCACCACGCTGCACCCCACATGCCAGCACTCCAGCCCACCACACACTTCTGATCCCTTCCTTACTTGCCCCCTTGCGCCCTCTCATGCCTTCCAGCTAGACGTTACTTACAATAATAGCCCTCGGCAGTTCTATCTGCATCAGTTTCAGCTCCCATTCTCACCTTCGCGCCCCCTAGTGAGCAGCTCCTTCCTCTCCCACAGGCTTCGATTACCACGGTCGTTCTTAGTGTGCCCTATGCTGAGGATCTCGTTTCACGATGGTCTATCGTTTCAAGCAGCTCGTAGGTGACTAGTCTTGTTCACCCATGTCATTCTTATCTGCATGTTCATGAGCTAATGCGCCATTGGGGGGGCGGGAGAGTAAGGAGGGGCGAGGGGGAGGAGGCGGCACGCAGAAGCGGTATCTTCGGGAGGCGGGGCGCCTGGCGGAGTACCTAGATGCGCGCATGGAGGCGGCCACCAGGTGCGCGGACGCCAGCAGATGCGAGCACGGTGGTGAAACATCTCTTCCCTTGTTTCGCTTCTCGCCACTGTCCTTTTCCTCTCTCCTGTACTCGTTCCGTCTATGCCCGTCTCGATCCCCCTTTCGTGCCCTCTCTCCCTTTTCGCTCGTCCCAGCTGCTCTTTCTCCCCCTCGCCCCTGGAGCTGTGCTTGCCATGTGTGTGCTTGCCACGTGTGTGCTTGGCGCAGCAGCGGTGCGGCGCGACTCGTGCAGAGAGGCATGGCTAGTAGTGTGTGTGGGAAGGTGGAGGGGGCAGAGCGGAATGGAGAGCATCCGCTCTCGTGCACTCCCCTTCTCACGCGCATGCCCCATCCATCCGTCCATCGTGTGTGCACTGCAGGTTGGGCGCAGCAGCAGCAGGCCCGAGGAGCAGTGAAGGGGGGCATGCTGGCGCCATGGGTGGTGCGCTGCCAGACGACGTGAGCGCCATGGCGTATGCGCACGACCTGCCACCCAAGGTGCATACATGTGCCTTGCTATATGCATGGCGGTGTGAAGCCATCCCTGGCAGCCCATCCGTGTGCCCTCTGTTCTGCCTGTTGCGTGCCCATGCCACCCCCTTTTGGCTCTTGCACGCCACGCCTCTCCATGCGACCTACCACTCTCCTTGCCTTTACTCACCTCTTTCTTTCACATGGTTGCATGGAATCACATGGCTGCATGGCATGGCATGGGCGCATGGCACATGGGTGCATGGCATCACATGGGTGCATGGCATCACATGGGTGCATGGCATCACATGGGTGCATGGCGTGGGTGCATGGCATCAGGTGCATCTGTGGCAGCACCACGAGTCTCTCTCCTCGCGCCATCTCTCCTCCTCCCTCGCCTCCCTGCACCGTTACTTCGACTACAGGTGAACAGTCATGGCCAGGCGGAGAGGGGGGGGTCATACAGGTGCCACGGATGGGTTGCTGGAGTAGAGAGGCCCATGAGAGGGCATTCGCAGGCACGTGCGAGTGTGGGGGGCAGTGGGAAGGGCCTGCTGCATGACAGGGCAAGGAAGTGTGGGGGAGAGTGTGGCGTTCGCACGTTGATACGTGTGATCGTGTGAGTGTGCTGTGCACGCGTGGCCCTCATGGTGAGGCGGCCACGAGGAGTGCAGCCACCACGAGGAGTGCAGCCGCCACGAGGAGTGCAGCCTCCATTCTGTTCTTCCATGTCTTGTGCGCTCTTCCCCGACTCTTGCGCACACCGTCACTCCACCCTCCCGCTTCCGCCCCCTGCCACCCCCTCCTCTCTCCAAGCAGTGCGGGCGTGACAGCGGTGGGTAGTCGCCCGGCGTCGGAGTGGTGGGCGGGGCGATTCCAGGCGGGGCTGCTGGTGGAGGGCGCCATGCACGCACGATACGGGCACACACAGCACGCCATGGGGGTATGAAGGCATTTGTTACTTGACGTATCAATCAAACTAATGATTCGCATGTGTCCTCACGATGCTTGTCTTTATCGCAGCTAGCTATGTAACTCTGTCCAACATCGAGATAATTCCCCATGTAAGTCCAATTGTAAGTCTCGCTGGTCATTTGATCGTCGGACTAATTTCACAACAACGTCTCGTATGACGTGCAGAAATTTGTAGCCTACCACGAGCTATTTCCTCCGGTAAGCTGGCTCTTGTAATTGCTGTCGTATGGAATATAACTAATTTGATTACAATGTTTGAACCTAATGTGCAGGACTCAATATCCAGCGTCGCGCTACTTCGTTGTTGTAAGCATTGTCCTTATTGTTGGTGATTTCGACCTTGGATTAATTTCGAGATAACAAGTTCTGAACGTAACGTGCAGGAATTCCAATCCAGTTTCAAGAATTGCTGCTCCTGGTGTGCCGCCGCTCAGTTTCTCTTTGTGTTAGTGCGGGACCCACATAGGGGTGCTGGTAGGCAAGGGCGGTTGGGCCATAGTGGTTGTATACTGTGGTGTAGATGTTTTTTTTAATATATCAAATAATTTGCTTGTTGCATTATAAGTAAATCCAAACGAGGCATGCCCTAATTGTATTGAACCATGCCCAAAAGGGTACTGCAGCCTGCAAAAACGGATCCATGAAAAACACCGCCAAACGTTTGCAACAAATCATGCTGAATACTAAAAATGGTGAGCATAAACTTCTCTATGCATTTACATGTTTACTGCAAAAGTTGTAGAAAGAACACCGCCATGCATTTGTAAACGAACCACAGAGATTACCGAAAAGACACCTCTAAGCATTCGCTGTCGTGAACCAAAAAGTGTTTCGGGAACTGTTGTCAAAGCATTCGCCAAGTGTTCTAATCTAAGTCCGCCATGAATTTTCACCCACATGTTCGCAAAACGTTTGCAAAGCATTTGCGCGAATGCTACGCAATCGTTTTGCGAGCATACATTTTTTGCGATGTGGTGAGAGAGGGAGCAGGCGGATGGTGAGAGTGGGAGCAGGCCGATGGTGAGAGATGGAGCAGTATTAGGGTGAGAGAGAAGGGAGTCAGTTGGTGGTGAGAGAGGGAGTAGGCCGATGGTGAGAGAGAGAATAGGCTGGTGGTGAGAGAGGGAGCAGGCTGATGGTGAGAGAGGGAGCAGGCGGATGGTGAGAGAGGGAGAAGGCCGATGGTGAGAGATGGAGCAGTATTAGGGTGAGAGAGAAGGGAGTCAGTTGGTGGTGAGAGAGGGAGTAGGCCGATGGTGAGAGAGAGAATAGGCTGGTGGTGAGAGAGGGAGCAGGCTGATGGTGAGAGAGGGAGCAGGCGGATGGTGAGAGAGGGAGAAGGCCGATGGTGAGAGATGGAGCAGTATTAGGGTGAGAGAGAAGGGAGTCAGTTGGTGGTGAGAGAGGGAGTAGGCCGATGGTGAGAGAGAGAATAGGCTGGTGGTGAGAGAGGGAGCAGGCTGATGGTGAGAGAGGGAGCAGGCGGATGGTGAGAGAGGGAGCAGGCCGATGGTGAGAGATGGAGCAGTATTAGGGTGAGAGAGAAGGGAGTCAGTTGGTGGTGAGAGAGGGAGTAGGCCGATGGTGAGAGACAGAATAGGCTGGTGGTGAGAGAGGGAGCAGGCTGATGGTGAGAGAGGGAGCAGGCGGATGGTGAGAGAGGGAGCAGGCCGATGGTGAGAGATGGAGCAGTATTAGGGTGAGAGAGAAGGGAGTCAGTTAGTGGTGAGAGAGGGAGTAGGCCGATGGTGAGAGACAGAATAGGCTGGTGGTGAGAGAGGGAGCAGGCTGATGGTGAGAGAGGGAGCAGGCGGATGGTGAGAGAGGGAGCAGGCTGATGGTGAGAGAGGGAGCAGGCGGATGGTGAGAGAGGGAGCAGGCTGATGGTGAGAGAGGGAGTAGGCGGATGGTGAGAGAGGGAGCAGGCGGATGGTGAGAGAGGGAGAAGGCCGATGGTGAGAGATGGAGCAGTATTAGGGTGAGAGAGAAGGGAGTCAGTTGGTGGTGAGAGAGGGAGTAGGCTGATGGTGAGAGACAGAATAGGCTGGTGGTGAGAGAGGGAGCAGGCTGATGGTGAGAGAGGGAGCAGGCGGATGGTGAGAGAGGGAGCAGGCTGATGGTGAGAGAGGGAGCAGGCGGATGGTGAGAGAGGGAGAAGGCCGATGGTGAGAGATGGAGCAGTATTAGGGTGAGAGAGAAGGGAGTCAGTTGGTGGTGAGAGAGGGAGTAGGCCGATGGTGAGAGAGAGAATAGGCTGGTGGTGAGAGAGGGAGCAGGCTGATGGAGAGTGAGGGAGCCGGCTGATGGTAAGAGAGGGAGGAGGCGGACGGTGATAGAGACGCAGGAAGCAAGGCACACCGAGGTTAGGGACACGCCCGTGGGCGGCGACCTCTATGATATGCATGCAGTCACCCTACGCCGCCGTACTAAACCAGTGATGTTCCATGCCCCCACTCCCCCCTCCCCATCCGTATGGCAGACCACAGGGAGGATGTTTGTGCCCCGGAGTGCACGCAAGCGGAAAGTGCAGCCTGGGTTTAGGGTGGGGGCGGAAGGCGACGAGGAGAGTGAGGGCATCATAGGGGTGCACGGCACGGAATGTGAAGGGGTTGGGAGGGCAAGTGGATGGGTCAGGGCTGTCGCGGGGGGCAGGGCTGTCGGGGAGGGGAGGGCTGTCGGGGAGGGCAGGGCTGTCGGGGGGGGCAGGGCTGTCGGGGGGGGCAGGGCTGCCGGGGGGGGCAGGGCTGTCGCAAGGGGCAGGGCGGTCGTGGTGGGCCCCGAAAAGCGAGCAAAAGAGGCGCCGAAACATCGGGTCAGCATGCCAACCAGGAAACCTCGGCGCTGCTAGGTGATCACCCATTTGCTCGTGTGAAACTGCCCTGGCTCATTCATGTGGTTATTGGGTTGTTATACTGCGACGATACAGGCGTGGGATACGAGTGTTGCACACAGGATGCAGTCGACGAGTTCCTACAAAATCGGAAGCTACCAGATGACATAGACTTTCCCATGCAGTCATTCTAGGTTGTGCCATATCATAAGCAGAACACTAATCAATACCCTTATATTTGTTAAAGCTGCATACTATTGTTTGTGGTGTGGACGAACCAATCAGTCACCTCTACTCGCAAGAGTTTCACGCCAATGTGGAGGTCAAAAGCAAAGAGGTATGCGCCGAGTAATGAGCCTAGCAGGCCGAGCTGCAAAAACACTGGTTGGTATGCTCTTCAAACCGTGAGGCCAGAACATCCCGCGCGCTGGAGCACTTTCCACAGCCACCTGAAAAATGGGTCCAGTCAAGACACGCAGGACAGCAAATCAGTGAACGAGTATGAGTGCAGCTGTGGCACGAGAGAAATGGGCCATTTGGGAAAGGGGCCAACAGGGCGCCATGGGTGGGCAACATTGCAGGGCGTTACTGGATGGCAGAGCCACGCAGGCACGTAGGTAGAAGGGGTGGTTGATATATACTGCAGCATGTACCGACCGCAGTATGCATGGTTGGGCTGCAGCATGCGCGAATGGAATGCTGCAGCCTGCTAGAATGAAATGCTGCAGCCTGTACCGACCGCAGCATGCATGGATGGGCTGCAGCATGCTCGAAAGGAATGCTGCAGCCTGCTAGAAAGGAATGCTGCAGCCTGCTAGAAAGGAATGCTGCAGCCTGCTATAATGGAATGCTGCAGCCTGCTCGAATGGAATGCTGCAGCCTGCTAGAATGAAATGCTGCAGCCTGTACCGACCGCAGCATGCATAGATGGGCTGCAGCATGCTCGAAAGGAATGCTGCAGCCTGCTAGAAAGGAATGCTGCAGCCTGCTAGAAAGGAATGCTGCAGCCTGCTATAATGGAATGCTGCAGCCTGCTAGAATGAAATGCTGCAGCCTGTACCGACCGCAGCATGCATGGATGGGCTGCAGCATGCTCGAAAGGAATGCTGCAGCCTGCTAGAAAGGAATGCTGCAGCCTGCTAGAAAGGAATGCTGCAGCCTGCTATAATGGAATGCTGCAGCCTGCTAGAATGGAATGCTGCAGCCTGCTAGAATGGAATGCTGCAGCCTGCTAGAATGAAATGCTGCAGCCTGTACCGACCGCAGCATGCATGGATGGGCTGCAGCATGCTCGAAAGGAATGCTGCAGCCTGCTAGAAAGGAATGCTGCAGCCTGCTATAATGGAATGCTGCAGCCTGCTCGAATGGAATGCTGCAGCCTGCTAGAATGGAATGCTGCAGCCTGCTAGAATGAAATGCTGCAGCCTGTACCGACCGCAGCATGCATGGATGGGCTGCAGCATGCTCGAAAGGAATGCTGCAGCCTGCTAGAAAGGAATGCTGCAGCCTGCTATAATGGAATGCTGCAGCCTGCTCGAATGGAATGCTGCAGCCTGCTAGAATGGAATGCTGCAGCCTGCTAGAATGAAATGCTGCAGCCTGTACCGACCGCAGCATGCATGGATGGGCTGCAGCAAGCTCGAAAGGAATGCTGCAGCCTGCTAGAAAGGAATGCTGCAGCCTGCTATAATGGAATGCTGCAGCCTGCTCGAATGGAATGCTGCAGCCTGCTCGAATGGAATGCTGCAGCCTGCTAGAATAGAATGCTGCAGCCTGCTCGAATGGAATGCTGCAGCTTGCTCGAATGGAATGCTGCAGCCTGCTAGAATGGAATGCTGCAGCCTGCTCGAATGGAATGCTGCAGCCTGCTAGAATAGAATGCTGCAGCCTGCTCGAATGGAATGCTGCAGCCTGCTCGAATGGAATGCTGCAGCCTGCTAGAATGGAATGCTGCAGCCTGCTCGGATGGAATGCTGCAGCCTATACCAACAACAGCATGCATGGATGGGCTGCAGCAAGCTCGAAAGGAATGCTGCAGCCTGCTAGAAAGGAATGCTGCAGCCTGCTATAATGGAATGCTGCAGCCTGCTCGAATGGAATGCTGCAGCCTGCTCGAATGGAATGCTGCAGCCTGCTCGAATGGAATGCTGCAGCCTGCTAGAATAGAATGCTGCAGCCTGTTCGAATGGAATGCTGCAGCCTGCTAGAAAGGAATGCTGCAGCCTGCTATAATGGAATGCTGCAGCCTGCTCGAATGGAATGCTGCAGCCTGCTCGAATGGAATGCGACAGCCTGCTATAATGGAATGATGCATGGCATGCATGAATGGTTTGCCACAGCATGCTCTGATTGCCGCAAGCATCTATGGGTGCAGCATGCATGTATGGTTTGGTGCAGCCTGCATGGTTTGCAGCCGCACGTTTTGAACCAAGCAGCACGCTCGGATTCGGCGTCGACTAGACAACAACATACCTCGCGCGAAAACATGGCTGGTGTGCTACTCCTTTTGTTGATCGTAGTCGTCTAACCTGCGTGGAGAATGAATGGCAACCATGCACCGCGAGTGGGCTGAGTTCTCTGAAATAAGGACCCACTTGCTCGTGTGTGGATGATCGCACACCCATTACAATTCACGAGCGAACAAGGACGTGTGGAGGATAGCACACCTAGGTATGTGCTCACCAGGGGGGTAGTTTACAAGGACGCTTGAATGGAGCGCGAGGCCACAAGACCCAAGGCCTATCCAGCATTGGTGTTGGTCGAGTCTCCTGGAATGCATAGACATATGAGTGCCATCGATAGTTGGGAATGATAAAAAGGCAGGGGTCATCCAGAGCCAGCTATGGGGGAACGGGGGGGGAGGGGAGGAAGGGGGGTCTGCAAACATTGGAAAGTATGCACGATAGTGACTTACCCAAAGGAAGGCGGCGACGAGCAATGGCATGACGTGAGCGGGCAAACGTGCGGCTTCTGGTTCGCAACGCGGATACTGGGGCGACACTACCCTCTGGAGTGGAAAACACAAACGTCTGGTTGTTGGTGGTGCTCAGAGGAACCAGGGCACCGGGGTCCTGAACGCACGTATCGCCAGCCGTGGATGGAGCCACGCTTGTGGGATCAGAGGCGCCGGCTGCGCCCCTCACGGGAGTGGCTTGTGCACATGAACTTGTGCCATTCACCAACCCTTGCCAACGAACCAATATCTGATCCTGCCACCCCCAATCTATCGGCCCCAATATTCGATCCTTATTCCCCCGACGGATACGTGTTGCAAGACGAACACGCGTCACCCACTCCACTACCTGCCGATCAGCCGTGGCGTTCCAATGCAGCACTGCTAGTGCTATTCTCGCATCCATGCTGCCAAGATAAGAGACTCTTTTCGGGGCATACTTTGTTATCAACGAATGAAACGACTCGTTAATCCAGTTGCTAGCCCCATGCACGTATGCTTCCATCTGCGCCTCCCGCAGTTCTCCGCCAACCATACACGAAAGGCCAAGTGTGTTTTTGAATCTGGCAAATACAGAGCACTCTCTGTCCCCCACCGTTCCCTGACGCAACGCGACGGAACATCACCGCGCTGGCAATGCGTATGGATCCCTGCCCAATGCTCGGCCGCGACAGCAAGCTCCTCGGCGACCTCCCTAGCAGTCATGGGTATTCCTGCTACTAGCCTCGCTGCACACCGTAGCATAACATGATGGAAGTGTACACTAAAACGTCGCGCCACGGTCACCTCCTCCATCTCTCCGCTCTCGGAACCACCAACCCCACTTCCTTCTGGTTGTTGTCGCTTGAATTTTCCTCGAGCCACCCACCTATGCCCCGACCCCCCTCCCACCTGGTTTCCCCCAATAACAGCTGCATTGCTTGCTCCATCCGCAGGCATAGGTGGTGATGGGCAGGTGCCGTCGTTGTGCGGCGCTGCGCACTCGGCCGTATGCGTTTGTGCGACCTCTTCACAACACCAACAAAAGCACGTGGAGCAGGCGTGAACATGCCGAGTCAAATTAGTACCTCTCAAAACACATCATGCAAAAAAACACGTGTGTGCTATGGACTCACCCTCGTGCGTGCAGTCAACGATGTGCGGTCCATCTTGCGTGTCCTCACCAAACGCCAGTGAATTCGCTGTCTCGCGAATAAAATCCGCGATGCCGCTATGAGGGACGGGGTGGCTTGGGATCGGGTCGAAGTCAAAAAGCTCCTGAACATCTTCCATCCCAATCTCTAGCCACTTTGTAGACCCCAGCCCACCACCTGCTTGCTCCGTCGCACCACCACCCCTAGGTGGCTGGCTATTTGCTCCACCCTCCTATGCCCCCCCTTCTCCTTCCTGGACGGCTCCTGCCTCCCCCACCTCTCTAGGCGCCCCCCCCATGTCGTTCTCCTTGTCATTGCCTGCCATATGCCTCCGACGACGTTTAGATGGGGAGGGCCCGATCTTGGTGGCGCTGCTCATCACCGCCTGCACCTTCCGCATCTCCTCATATAGATACCTTGTAGGAGCCTTGACGCTTGGGTCGTATGTAAACGTACCGAGGGTGGTACAGATAGCCCGTATGAGGGTGGCTCGTCTAGACTTCCTGCTGACCTTGCCTCGCTTCGGGGGATTTTTCTCCAACCAATCCCACAACTCATCGGTTGAACACATGCAGAGGTCCTCACAACTTCGTGCATCAGCCACCCTCATTTCTTTTTTATGCGCATCAAGAAAATCCTTCACAAATTTTCTGGTAAGGGCGCGTCCCTTGTGCCATACGTCCATCTGGTGACGGATGTCAATCCCCAAAATTGCAGATTTAAATGAGCCACCTTCATCCGATATGATGCCATACACTTTGAAACCTACCTGCTCCAACCGTTTGAGACCCATTTTAAACGCAATGCCCTCTAAGGCTGTGGAAGACTGGCCTGATTTCTTACTAATGGTTACATGTAGCAGTACTTTTCGAGATTTCGGGTCAAAAAACGTGACGCTGCACCACTTGCCCTCCCTAGCCTGCGACCATCTCCCATCGACGGCAACGTACTCCTGCGTTCTACGGGCCTCCATCACCTTTCTAACCCGAGCCATATTATCCTCTCTTTCAAGAATAATGGCTTCCCATAGACCATAAGGGTGGTGCATATGTCGGTAAAAGGTC